TATGCTGATTTTTGCTCCTGCAGTACGCGTTTAATTAATTACACATCAGCAGTACAGTACGGATATGATGAATAACTATTGGGTTAAAAAGAACTTGTTTGTAATGTTATTTTGATAGACTTTCATTAAAGAAATAAACATTTCAGCATTCGAGAGAATACAGTCACTGATGTCCTTTTTGGTCGGGGCATGCAGACAGGTAAAATCGTGCGATGATTTCATAACTAGGCTAGGCTACGGCCTAGTAGTATTAGGAGGAGGCCTGGGCCATTGGCGGCTCAAGGATTTAATTTATGGGGGGCTAAGGTGTACGACTGGGGGAGGGCTAAGTATTTATGGGTGTAACTATGGCATGCAGTGTTATCTGAGGACCGAAGCCCAGAGCCGGGGGTGGGTATGGGAGGGGGTCCTCCCAAAACGAGATTTAAAAACAAAAATTGGGACTTCTAGATGGCCGGAAATGGCTGGGATGGGAAAACTAGGCCTATTTTTTTTTGGTCCGACTGCCCGACAAGCTTTGGCCGATGGGGGTGGGGGGCTTGACCAGACCGATGGAGGGCTTAAGCCCATGCCCCCTTTTTTGTTTTGTTTTCTTGCAGGCAGTTTGTGTAGGACTATTCCTGTGGAGTACTCTCAAACTCAGAATGAAATTACAGGCATAATTGTAACAAAAACAGTTATTTATCACCCATACAAAGTTTGTTCAACTTGTGTTGGCACATAATCTGTATTTCTGTGTAATTCACCAATCTTATATCCACTAAATATGGTAATAACATACACAGTACAGTCCACCCTCCAATTCGGGACCATTTTGTGTACCTGTAATTTGGGGCGGACTTGGGTGATTATTCTCAAATTAAAAACCTCTAAACAGAGACAACAGCATAGAAGTGGTCTCCAAACAGCATAATTAGAAGGTAACCCTGAAACCACTTAGTGAAGACCGAAGCTAAAAGTGGTCGCCAAAAGACAACATAGGACAACCATTTATTTATTTCAAAGAAACTGTTGTTTGCTTTTTAAAAGTTTTTTCACCTACTTGAAACTTTTGAAAGACACATCAGGCCCGTAGCCAGATCATTTCAAGGGGGGTTCTCTGGGCGTGGGGTCCAGGGCACTGCCTAAGGGCCCCGGTGGGGTCGGGGCGAAGCCCCCGAAGCCAGAGCAGTTTTTGTGTTTAATGGGTCTATATAATGTTATAAAACAGTTATGTTTTTAAAAAGATCTATGTAATAAAAGGTGGTAATATAATAAAATTGGAAAATATTTTCTGATGAGAATTGGCATGTTTTAATCACACCGAAAGACAAAAAAAAAAAAAAACCTCATCGCACAATCAATATAAATATACTCAGCATAATTTACAAAGAATTATGTACTTATTATTATAAAATATAAAACATTTAAGAAGTTTTGTCTTGTATTAACTTAAATAATGAATCTTCCAGTAGGCCTATATAAAAAATAGAGTTACCTGTTACAAAATAAAGTAGAAGCTGAACTTCTTCTTGACTCTCATCTTGTATACTGAAAATAATAGTACTATTTTTACTACATAGCTAAAAAAGCACAAATATTGTCATTACTACAACTGACAGGGCCATCGTTAAATTAAGTCAGATCCCAAAATAGAGCATCATATTGAATACGTCATCTGACATCATGGGAACCTAAACTTTAATTACAATTATTTGTTTACTAGGCCTAATTCGAAATTATAGTTTTAAGACTTTAACCAAATACATACTGATTGATATTAGCTGAGATTTGATACACATTTCAGAATTAATAATCGTTTTTAGTATCTTACTGAATATTTATTGTCTACCAAATGAAATTTTAATTATATATGAATCTTTAGAAATACAATTTCTACAATATTAATCTTGTTTTTATATAGATAAATGTTCGATAAATACTATCTTTCATAAAACAAACGAAATTCAGCACGTCTATTTTCATTCCAATCAATTACATTTGAAACAGGTGCACTGACGTCATCGTCGAATCCCAGGACTTTCGACGGCAAAGCTGGCCTGCTTGCCTAGTTCCCAGGCCAACCAATAATAATTAACAAAATGTATTATTTTTTAAAAATATACTGTAGGCCTATGGCGCATCCTTTTACAATAAAAGCCTAGGCCTACGTCAAACTGTACTTAAGCCTAGGACTACACTAGTTTGATGTCGTCGGGGTATAATTCTGTCTCTAAATGCAGCGTGACCACTAGGAAAAATCAAAATTCAAGATTGGGTCTAAAAAATCCCAAGATTGCTTTTTAAAAACCCAAGATTCGCAAAAATATTAGTATATACATAAACTTCATTTAAAAGTCCTTCATTTTAAAGCTTTTTCAATGAATTATATACTGTACAGTATTTTGTACTGTAGCCTTAACGAAGTGTCTGGATTTTTGAGACCAGAAACTCGTTCGCTTTGGGCCATACTATTCGAAAGTCTACTCTGTGCGTTTGTGGAAAATCCTTTTTGGTGACTAAAACGTGATATCCTTTCTTCTGGCATTGTATGTTAGCCAAGAGTTTGAAGTTTGTGCGCAATTTCACCCATTCGATATTAACAAAGTCAGTACTTCACACACATTAGGCCTATGGCCTTATTATATAAAGGGGCATAATCGATCTTTTCAGAGTGCTAATTGATCTGTCAATTTTATACCAGGGGCCTACAGTATTGCATAGGAGTATTTAACAATAAGAAAAATGGGGAAAACAGTTTCCTTTGAAATTTACTTAAGCGAGTGTGTATGAAACCGGGTCTATGGCAACTATACTTTGATACTACGTCTAGAAGTGTAGAGATACGGACCCTATCATTAAAAACTGTTGAATTCTAAATGATTGCAAGATGACCAAGCATATGAATGAATCAGTCTAAAATGATATTCAAAGATATTATACAGCTAACCGCTAATGTTTGTTTTGCCTGTCTATTACACACCGTCACTCACAAATGTATGCAAAAATTGGTCGTAAAATTTGACAAGTTGACCATTAAAATCTATTGTAAATATTTATTTAAATCCGTACACCGATTTTGTTTCAAGTTGTTTGTTTTCAATACTATAGCTGTCTCTTTACAATGACATTGTTTTGAAATTGTACTGTATAACACTCCAAAATTTGTTTTATGGGCAAACAGCAGAAGGCTCTAAATTTTTACAAGTTGACCAAGCGTGTTGCTGCAGCATTATTGTTCAGTTACGATCACTATTCAGGCAGAGAGCAGCAGGCTGATAATTTGTTTTTCCCACAGCTATTTAGATGTCGTTGGTAACTTTTTTTTTTATATTGTGAGTATAAATATTCTCTAGTGTATATACTGTAGATAAGAATTGTAGATAAATAATGCACATAAAATCAATTGTCGATGGAGAACGGTGTCAGTCATCAGTCCCATATTAATAGTACCGATATTTTGAATACTCCTCTTCCGCGAATTGTTTTATTGACAGTGACTCATCTAAATCTTATATAATCACTTTAACATTTAATAATCGAAATAGTTCACCATATCGTAAAAGTTTGAATTCCCACCCAATTTGTTTGGTGATCCTCAGTGTATGTTATGTTAATGAAACATGTCATACTGTACAACAAGGGAATGTGTATTACAAAATGGCAGTACGTATTTTTTAGATTTTGACGCACTCCGTTCTGTTGTGTGTGTCTGCTGTTGAAAACAAACTTCCTAATTTTGTGACTCGCTATGATGACTGAGATGGACCATGTTGATTTATTAATAATATGTTGTTTTGGATGGAAAAAAGTAGAGTCAATTTCCCAAAAATGCTCCATCAGCAAATAGTTTAGTGTGCGCTATGGACAGTTATGGCTATGGAATTTACTAACCACACAATCCACAATCATTAAGTCGCAAAACTTTAGCTTTGGTGGGTTAAGTCGCAAAACTTTATCTTCGTTTGGTGGCGCCATTTACTCTAGGTAGACAGAGACCGGTTTCGTTACCGGTTGGTACATTTCTTACATTCAGACAAAGGCCAGTGAAAGGTTTTATCAATGCTTGCCATCCTTATGTGAGCTATCGTAAAGTCATGGTTTGCCGGAGTTGCGTTCAATTTTAAATCTCCGAACTTCTGAAGCTGAGATATTCTATGAATGTAGGCTTGTATCGCAGGCTACAATTTAAAATCGGGTGACCAAATAATGAATTAGGTGCTAAATTTTGATTTAATGCTGGGTAAGTTAAAAACAGACATTCCGTCCGAGTGGGACTCATTCAAAAATTCGAGGGGGTTCACTAGAAAACAGGGGGGTTTGCTAGAAAAGGGGGGTTCGCCCGAACCATAAAAACCCCCCCTGGCTACGGGCCTACACATCATTAAAAAAAAATCTGAACAGCGTACTGTAAACATAAAATTTACACTTTATTTCGCATGAAGATAGATGTTATTTTCTTTTGTGTACTTGGCCTAACCATATGTTCCGAATCTTCAATAAGTTCTTTTTTAGGCGTACGGCAAGATATGTATTTATGGAAAAAATATAACTTTTTTTCTATCAATCAGCAGTGGCCATTTCCACCCTGGATCTCCTGGATCTCAATGTTTATTAAATTGTATGCACCATAATATAAATTAACTTATATGCTTGAGAATAATAAAAACTGGCCTATTTTTAGTCATAAATTTGTATATACAATTTGATCCATTTTTGAGCTTAGAAACTCAATGGATTGACTTAAATCCTCCTCTAGCTTCTTCATTTGAGTAAAAATGGTATTCACTTTGCACTGAAACTCCGAAATGGCAGATTATGTACATAACAATGAATTTATTATTACAGCAAACTGTTTTGTTCGTGAACCATTTTGTTTGTGATGTGTTGGATAAAACCATATTATCTGCTGACTGCACTAAAATATTTTTGCCTTATTGCCCTATGATATGTACCAAAACAAATAAAAACATTTATTTGACAGAGTTTGGCCCATTGATTTTGGTATAGCCCATTTTATCGGATTTATTTAGAAACAAGGCCGCCAACTTCTCCCAGCTCACTGAAATACTTCCAGCAGCTTAGATCATGAGCAGCTGGCTAGTTTTACACCCAGTGGATAGCACTGCTAGACCTCTGCTATAGCAGCAGTAGACAACAGATACGATCATGCTAATTACTGTAATTACTGTGTATGTAAACACTGAAATAGTTTTTTAAAGACTTAGACTTGTTTTTAATATTATAAACATTTCGTGTATTTTTCTGTTTTAAAATATTTGTGCTCGTTAGTAATTTAGTTTTATCGTTGATTTAATCCATGATGGTAACTACGTAGAGCATCTGAAAGTCCCCCAGTGGTAGATGCCAGGTTATCGGAAATTTTCATTTCAAATTTCGCAAAAATAGTCTATAGATCTGTTTCATTCAAAGTGATATATTGAATTACTCATTGTTCATTTATTCAATTCAAATTCTGCCATTCACATCACATATAGTAGTTCATAGAAACTGTTGGTGTATTCATAGTTTCCTCCATTGTATATTGGGCAGAATTTTTTTTTTTTCTGTGCTATTTGTTTTCACTTTAGTTGTCAATGTTTATCCTGGGATGAAGGCCAATTAGCATAAAATTTGCATATAAACCGCACCAATCCCCTTCACCATTTGAGGCATAAACAGCATTTCAATGCCATTACCAGTCTGTTACCTGTTCAAAGCTGATTTTATTTTTGCGGTGGCATACCACGCCACCCCCCTCCCCCCTATTGAAAATGTTCAGAGCAAAAAAAACATGCTCACAGAGATAAAAATCACCACATATCACCTTATTGTGAGAGCTGGCCTTCCCTTCCCTTACCTAATCATTGTGTGTTACCACTTCATCTTCATTCTCCCATTAGCCCTCTTTTCCATTTCAAGACTCCTAAGTGGCCTCCCCCCACCCCACCTTTATTTTTGTGCTAAAAATTTTATATCCAATTTTCAGGGAGCAGCTTAGTTCAGTCAGCAAAACTGGTGGCAGCCACAGTGTGTGCGCTGAACCATGGAGCTTAAGTATTCTAGATCCCCAATTCAATTCTAACGCTGCTTTCAAGTGTTCTGTTGAGGGGCTGAAATTGAAGGTTTTAATAGCATAAGGTCTTTTGCAAGGTGCATTTAAACTGTTGGTCCTGTGTACAGTATGCCCCATGTGCATGTTAAAAACATCCCAGTGTACAGCCAAATTTACTACCAGTAAGACCCCACTGGAAATAAGTCTGCATACTTTTGTGGGTTATCTATTTTTGTTGTAGGCCCTAAACTGAAACAAAAATTATGCAAGGCACGCTTTCGTCTTCTGCAGTAAATGTCGATTACAGAAAGTGCAGTAAACAATTCAGTTTTTATTTTTTATTTTTAGAAAGATATATATTTCTGTACCCATTCTTGATGTTGGACTTATCACAAGAGTATGAATAAATAAATATTTCTGTGAACGTCGGTGATCATATAGTAACGGGTTTCCAAACCAGCTCCTATGATGTTGAATTGTCATAAGAATATGAATAAATTGTAATAGAGAGAAAGTATTTGTAATATTCAGTATATATAACTGTGGCACATTTATTGATGTGTTAATAGTTTTGTTGTCCAAAAGTCCAATCCAATCCAAAAAAACTATTTGAATGTGATGGTTTTCATTGATCAGAGGATTATTAATTTACCCTCTCAACTTTATTTACTTTTTCCATTGCAGCCAAAAAAATAACTTGAGTTCAAGGGGACGAAAAGATGGGCAGGAAATCCTAGAGCATTTCAATGATGAATACAGCAGAAATGGAGTGGCTGATGAAATGTCTACCATGTTACCATGGTTTCCCAGCAACACAGGGAGGCAGTCACTCACTGAGCCACTGCAGTGACAACTGTAGGCCAGGACAAAGCCACTGCAACCTACCCAAACCAGCAGCCTCAATGGTAAGGTTAACATCCATCTTTCTGCTCTTAAAACATCTCTACAGTATGTGCATCCTTTCCTTTGCATGTTTAGTGGACTTCGGCTGCATTCACAGCAGAGCTGGACTGAAATTCGGACCAAATTTCTGATGCGCTGAATGCCAGAATCACGATTCTTACATACTGATTCGATTTTGTGATTGATTCGATAGGCTTTCGGATCCAAAAATTTGGATTGGGTGTAAATGCACCTTATAAATTCATGTTGGTGTTGTGTTGTTGAAGTTTTATGAAATACGCCATTCTGTTGAACTGTAACTCTACAAAATGTTATACATGTTACAAGAGTGATAAAGATTTTGCTTAACTTTTAGTCACAAAGTACGCAACCTCTGCACAGTTCTCGATGCCTAAATGAATCTCAAAGACCACATTTCTGGAATCTCAAATACTTCATTTTTCTAACATCATAACATTGGGTGAATTGGGAAATACCTGACTGAAGGGGCTACAGAAAACTTAATTCATGTATTTGTAACTTCACGTATCGATATGGGGAATTCACTTTTGTACGGACTTCCTACCTTTCAAATCAATTGACTCACCCGCTTACAAAACATTGCAGCAAGAATTATCAAACGTGTTTAAGCCTAGAGATCATATTACCCCCTTTTTAAAGCAATTACATTGGCTGCCCATACATGATAGAATCGTTTTAAAGATTCTTACCAATGTTTATCGGACAAAAACTGGTACTGCTCCAGCCTACATTTCAAATCTACTTATACCGCTCAAACCAATGCGTGAGAGTCTACGATCAAACAACAAAAATTTGCTCTATGAACCACGCACACACAACAACTGGGGAAAACATTCTTTTGCATCCGCTGCACCACACTTATGGAATCTGTTACCGGATAACATTAAACAGAGTACTTCCCTCAGCATATTTAAGAATCAGCTTAAGACGTTTTTGTTCACTTCATCATTACGATAATTACACACTAAATTTAATATTGTACTTTTAGGCATAGATTAAGTTTAGGCCACTCTTGTAAGGGCAGCGGTGTGGGACCCCTTTTAAGGGGCAGCCCATAAATGGAAACGTGAGACATTCCTTCCCTCCGTGAGTCTTAGGAGTTGCTAATTAGGAATATCTGCCTTGGGCAAGCAAAGGCACACTCGTGAAGCCTCCCCCACCAGGGATACGGTTGTTATTATTATTATTTTTTTCGTAGTTAAGATTACAAACTGTTTAACAACTCTCTTGACTTCTGTTTTGCGCCATGAGCATTTTTGATGGATACTGGCGCATTATAAATGTTCACTATTACTATTATTATTATTATCAATTAATGATTTAACTTTAAGGTCTTAATATCTTTCAGTATAATAATGATCATAAGTGTCTAGAGTACAGTTACTCTGTTGCTGAACACTGAATAATGTGTACAGAGCCTATTGGCAATTCCATTATTTTCTTTCATGCTCGAAGGGTAAGTTTCAGACAATTTTTCATATATCTGTTGCCTTCACTTTGTCCTTTAACAATTTTACCCCAAAATTTAATCATCTTCCTTAGACCAATGTGTACCACTCCACTGAATTATATGATGATCCATTCATTAGTTTTTCGAAAATGCTTCTAACAAACTTACAGACAGAATACAGATATCTTTCTTGGCAGAGGTATTTGCCAAGAAATGTTGTCTGAACATGAAAAATCAGTGATAAATGGTACCAAACACTCAATTAATTAAAAGAAAGTAAAATCCATCATAATATTTAAGTGCTAAACTATATCAAATCCCTATTTCCCCTGGAACAATATTAACAATCCTGTGCTTAGAACTCCTGAAGTTAATTTGTGAGATGTTAGAACTTTTCATTCCATTGTCGACTTGATTACAGTATATCATGTAATTATGAATAAAAGTATAAATGTAATATATTTGACTTTTAAACATTTTTGTCATACAGGATCGAAGAAATAGGCGTACAATGGGGATGGCAAAAAAAAACTGCATATTGCAAGAAGCAAATAAAGGTACGCCTGCCAATTCTCCCGCATAATGTATGAGTCTTGCGCTTAATGTGTGAATCTCGCGCATAAGCATTTACTTTTTACATATTGCGCCTATGTAATGTAATTGGGTGTGTGTATTGTTCTTCTTGTTGGGGTAGACTATGCTCATTCTAGCTTTGCCTGTAGAGGTACTTCTTTAAACCCTGCTGATATGTAAAGCTTAAAGGCCTTTTTATACTTCAACGATAACGTCGTAGTAGCAACGATTTTATCGTTTGTCTATGATTATGACGTCATCTGATTTTATTTGTTAAAATAATTTGTTATTGCATACACGATAAATCGTTATAGAATCGTCCTAGCGTAAAAACTTCTCTTATTTCTTTTGTTTTCTATATGAACAATCGCTTTTTATCATTTTTATCATTTCGTTGAAGTTTAAACAGGCCTTTACTCAGAGAGAGTATACTGTTTTTGTACTATGTGTACTTTATTCACTACTACTATATACTATATACAATATTTACAAGTTGTTTGACGTGGTGTTGCCTTCAAGACATCAAAAGGAAGCCTCTTTTCGATCAAGATTATGCTTGCTTTCTTAAGATACCACTTTGGTTGTGGTGGTTATTCTCATTGGTTGAGGGATGTCACCTTACCCTAATCATTTGATCATTACATCACTCTTGGGAGTTTCTGTTGGTCAGATAATATCCAGGGTTCCAAAACTTTGGAAGGTAAAACTGATACTTAATTGATGGTTCTGTTTACGAAGTTGGTTTTATAAATAGGTGAGAACTGGCAATTCATAAAGATCCAACTATTAGTCTAAATTATGTAACTCTTGAAAACTTGACCACATCACGCTAAAGCTTGTGTTGTCACATTAAGATATAACAGGTGCTGTCTCTTATACACATCTAGATGTGTATAAGAGACAGCTGATTCGATTTTGTGATTGATTCGATAGGCTTTCGGATCCAAAAATTTGGATTGGGTGTAAATGCACCTTATAAATTCATGTTGGTGTTGTGTTGTTGAAGTTTTATGAAATACGCCATTCTGTTGAACTGTAACTCTACAAAATGTTATACATGTTACAAGAGCAATTTAAATCAAACCTCTGCATTGAAGATTATTTTTGCATTCTTAAAAATCCAATTCATATCATTATGTTTACCAAAGCAAGAACTGGTATTCTAGCCTGTCTCTTATACACATCTAGATGTGTATAAGAGACAGACTTTAATCTAAATTATATATATTTGTACTCAGTTGTGTATTTTGAATGACTTTTATTCAGTTTTTTAAGTATTTTTGACAGATGTTATATCTGTCACTACTTGGAAAACCAAAATACAGTATACAATCCACAATAACAGTTGGTTCTCCCTGATTAATTTATTTAGCATCTGCATATGCATCACATGAATTGTATTGGTTAATTTACAAACTGTTATTAAAGTAAAATTGCCAAAAACTTGTGATCATATGGACATAATAAAACTGCACCTTTGTGTTTTGAATGTACCTAATATTTTATGCTCTGTATAATATTATGTCCATTCCGTTTAGTAAAATTATATTTGGTATCCAGGGTGGATCAAAGATTTTTCATTAGATGGCTTCCAAAAGCTCCAGATGGTTTGAACCAACACCAAAATAGACATATTGGGCCTCTCCCCCCCCCCCCCAATTACATCATGGGTGTGGTTCATAAACCATTTCGGAAGCTTAAAATAAAAGTATAGACCAACTTCCTTATTTCACAGTCATGAAAATAAACATAATTATGTTGATAAACTGTTTGGAGAGGGGGGAGGGAAAATGGGCTAATACTTGTTTAGCACCCCCTGCCCCTGTCACAGCCCAACCTGTTTAGAAAGTGCAATATACAAAATTTATTTCTCCCTTCAACTAAATGACATTTCCTCTGTTCTTTTGCATAGATAGTTTTTTTTTCTTTTGTTGACCAAAGGTCATTTATTCACAATCAGATATTCATTATACATTATAGTTATATTACAGTATTTCTTGATGAATGTATGCAAGACAAGGGTTTTTTAAAATTTTTTTACCCCACTTGTTGATTGAAGGTCATTAAATTACAAGTTTTTGTTTAGACTATAAAATGTAGACAAGAATTAAGTCATTGGCATGGAAACCCATTAACTGATACACAAGTTTCTTTGACTACATTTAGATATAATAATCATAGAAATGCCACTCTTAACACATTTTGCAATAGCTTCAATCACTTTACAACAATGAAAGACCCAGTTGATAATTGTGACTTAAACCTAAGTTTTTTTCATATAGATATGTACCGGTATTGATCAGTTTTTTATATTAAACTACACCAATTTTTAAAATTTGCTTTCCACCAGTTATAGGAAAGATTGTCGGAATATAATCCTCTTGGACCATTATTTTAAAGTCATATATACTGTATATTATAAGCATGGATCTTATTAATAGGTCCATGTTATAAGTAAAGGCTGAAACATGTGTCTTTGGGGTGCAAATAGGACACCATTTCCATATGCAACCATCAGCTTGTTAGCATGATGATGAGAGGTATTAAAAGGCATTTTTGATACGGTTACCAAGAACATTCCCCATTATAAGAACTTGTTCAAGTCTAAAGTTTTAGGGGGAATTTGTAAAATAGTTGCCAAGGACATTCCCCATTTCTTCGGGGAATTTATGTGGAGGCTACCAAGGACATTCCCCATAATAGAGGAACGTGTTCAAATTTTGAAATCAGGAGAATTTCTGAAAAGACTATCAAGGTCATTCCCCATTATAGTAAGAACTTCCTCCATTTTAAGGACTTGTTCGAATCTGAGATCTTAGTGGGAATACAGTATGTGAAAAGTGAGAAGATTAACAAGTGAATGACTACACCCAGATGTTCTACATGAAGGACATGCTTAAATCTTGGACCTCGTTAAAAAGATTAATAAAGCTGGTGCATTGTGCTGCTCGTTCAGAAGTCTACTAATCGTTGCAGTCAATAATCTTGCCCTTCACTTTTTAGCACAAAATGTAGATTGTGGTGATATCAAGGATATTGAGCTATCAGACCTGAAGTTTATCTACAAGAGTATTGGATGCAAACCTGTTACTAGTGTTGATCACTTTCTACCTGAAACGCTTGCACATTATGTACTTGTAGAAGAAGTCGTTGCCGGAACCAGAAAGGCTGTTAAATTTAACCTGGTAAGGCAGTATAACAGTTTTAGTGAGCGGCTCTAATAAGCTGGTAATAGAAGAGGCAGAGAAATCAATTCATAATGCCTTGTGCGTCATCCGTTGTCTCATCAAAAACAAGGCACTCATAGCCAGAGGCGGAGCACCCGAGATCGAGGTTGCCTACTGTTTGATGAAATACTCAAGAACCATATCCTATATGGAAGCTTACTGTGTAAGGGCTTTTGCAGAGGCCATGATAGTGATTCCTTCAACTCTGGCAGAGAATACAGGACTTAACCCCTTCTCAGTAGTCACAGTTCTCAGAAACCGACATGCCCATGGTGAAACTGCTGTGGGCATCAATGTTTGAAAGATGTTACCAATACATGTTTGTTTTATTTTTTATTTTAGCCATATTTAAAGAGGGTCGACTAATGTTCTTAACAGAATTCAAACACATTTGAGAATTTGTGAAAAGTTTATCTAGATATTCCCCATCATAAGAGCTTGTTTGAATCTGAAGCAATAGGGGGCATATGCGAGAAGTTTACCAAGGACATTTCCTTTTATAAAAACTTGTGCGCATTAGGAGTTTAGGGGGCTGTCTCTTATACACATCTAGATGTGTATAAGAGACAGCATATTACTCTTTACTGTCTTTATCAATTTTAATTGAAATGATCATAATGACAATTTCCAAGATGGCGTTCATCTTGGCGGAGAAAATGGTTATTTTTGTGAGATTATTATTATATTATTATTATTATTATTATTATTATTATTATTATCATTATTATAATTATCATTACTATTAGTATTATTGTACAAAATACAATCTCATCAAAGCAATCACATATAGAATATATATAAGTATTATTATTTTAAGAGTAGTATTATGCTTATTTATTATTTTTGAAATCATTAATAATATTATGTATATATTACTGTATTGTATTTTTGTTATTTCAAAATTACATTTTAATATTAGAATGAATTACATTGTTCGTACTGTTATATAATAATATTATTTATAATATGTTTATTACCACTATTGATATCATTACCGTATTATCATCATCCGTCATCATCGTCCTCATCTTCATCACGTCCTTATCAATCATCTATCGTCGTTATCATCATCCTCATAATCTTCATCCTCCTCGTCCATCATTTTCTTCATCATCATCCTCATCATCATATTCATCCATCATCCTCATCATCATCAATGGCATAGCCAGCTATTGGCACAGTTGGGACAGTCCTACACCATTTTTCCAATGGGTCCACAGAAACATGGTCCACATTTTTAAAAAAAAGGTCCAAATTATGTAATTTTATGCATAAAATGGATCCATATACCTTATATTTAGTTAAATATGGGTAAGATTTAAGAAAATGGGTCCAGATATTTCATATTTTTGCGTAAAATGGGTCCACATTGTTTGAATTTACACATAAAGTGGGCTCGCTCTGATATTGTCCCACACCGTTTGAAAATCCTGGCCATGGCATTGATCCTCATCCATCCTCGTCACCCTCATCACCATCCTCACCAATCATTGTTAACATCATCACCATCACCTTCATCCTACTAATCATCCTCATCCATCATCATCCTTATTCTCATCATCATCAACCTCATCCTTATTCTACTTATCATCATCACTCATTCATCATCATAGTCCTCATTATCATTATCATTATCATCCTCATCATCATCCTCATTACAATCATCGTCTATTATCATCATCCTCATTACAATCATCATCTATCATCACCATCCATCATCATCCTTGTCCTCATCATCAACCACATCATAATCATCATTATTAATCATCATTATCAATCATCATCATCATCATCATGAGGATGATAATGAAGAGGATGAGGACGGCAAGAATGAAGATGTGGATGAGGGGTAGACGGGATGTTTATCATCATTCGTCATCATTAACCTTATCAACATCATTCTCATCAATCATCCTCATCATTATCACGATCACCCTCATCAACGACCATTATCATCAATCATAATCATCATCATCCTTATTTTCATCATCATCAAACTCCTAATCCTTCTCATTATCATCATTATCCTCACCATCATTATCCTCACCATCCTTATCAGCATCATTTTCTTCTTCATCATCATCCATCATTAATTATCATCTACCTCATCCTCATCAGCCGCATCTTCCTCCTCATCATCATACTTATATCTTAATCATCATAATCATAATCATCATTACCATCATCCTCATTATTATCATCATCATCATCATCATCATCATTACCATCATCATTTTCATCATTATCCTCTTCATCACCAGTCACTACCATCATCATGAGGATGATGAAGATGAGGACGACGAGAATGAAGATAAGGACAAGGGTGA